AACCCGTAGTAAAGCTTCATTACTATCACGATGTTTTCACGGCAGAGTTCAACAACGTTTTCCAACCACCAAGACCTGGAGGAGGATTACGCTGCATGATGACGTGAGTGTTGACAATGATTTATATCTTCTCACAGACATTTTTTTTTTTTTTTGTATTTGTGGCGCGCGGCAGCTTCGTTTTCGGATAGTGTCATGTAATCGAGAGGAAGGGGGAAGGGGAGGAAGGATGGGAAATGGATCAGAGAAGGGGGGATGTGGAGGCATGGAGAGGATACTGAAAAAAGATTATCATGATTGCTGCTGAAATTAGATGTCAGGGATCGCGAAGACTGACAAGGTTATTAGAGCCATTTATAGAAGCGGGGAAATTTAGTCATGGCGAGAGTGACTGAGACGAAGTGTAATAGGCTTTACCTGTGAGTAGTAGTATTATATTATGAGCCATGCAGGTGTGTTCAGGTAATAACGTTGTATCTTAAATAACTATATGACACATTTATTATAAGACACACATCGTATTTATTAGTCACTGAATATTACAATTAAGAATCATACGACTAGGATAATGCAAAATTATTCTTGCGTTTGACTAAATATTTTGTGTTTTCATTTTGTGTTTGATGCTTGCTTGATAATTATTACACATTATGAATTATTAAATGTTGGATGATGATTATTTCAGAATTATTTTTATTTTATTATAATATTGGGTTTGGGAATTATCTTAAACAAATCATTGGAAAAAAATAAGGTAAATGGTAGCGTGGATGCGACTGATTACTACGACGAGTTGTTAATTTTCCTGCCCTTATGTTTTGTGTATATCTTTATACTGTGTGAGTCCCAGCCACCCTAATCCTTCAAAGTTGATGATACACAAACGTGAATGTAGTCTCTCTTGGGTTTAGGGGTATCATGGACACACAGTAATCACCCAGGATACATATTGCAGTAAAAAATATATGTGGGTCGCCTTCCACTCCCCCTCTTCAATCTAGGACTGCTGAGGTAAACATGGGGTGGTTGGTCAAGGAATTGGCTGAGGTGTTGGTATTGTGATAATGTGTGTTTTAAATTCATCAACTCGGTAATGAATACTTTCCTTGTCGTCGATGAGGTTGTAAATGCTTTTATGTTCCGTCGTCCATCACGATTTCAGTGATGGTAGAGCAAAGTTGGGTAATTAAAGTGAAATATTCTGTGTTAGAGACTCAGCTGTGCCATAAGCCTCTCTTTGTCGTATTATCAACCTTACCCAAGTCTTCGTGCGTTTGTATTCATTGATGTTTGTTGCAGATAACTCGGCTATAAATCCTGTTACATTTCACACAGCTTTTGTTGCCAATTTGCTGTCCACCACGGAACTAAGCGCTAAGTAGAAACGCTAGTTATGACAGGTACACTAGTCTTACCGGTTGTCGGAATAAAATTGACTAAATCTTGGGCTTTTGTGTTTAAGTGCTGCTCAGAGAAGTTGAATTCGTCGGTGGTAGAAAAGCCGGGCCGCTCTTTACTTTGTTATGATTAACTTCTTAAAAAAAAAGCCGAAATTAGATCCCATGAATAAGAAAAAACTGACTGGGGAAAATTTATTTTTCTTACTGGAGATGGTCTAATAACCTCTTGTGTACAGGTTGACCTCTGAGCTGAATAAACTCGTCTAGTGAAGGGGTCGAGGAATCGTGTGTATCTCAAATGATGTTGAGGCCATAGGAAAGTTTACTGTTACTGTGTTCTGTCCAGTTTCTACATTACTCTCACCACCATCGTGTATAAGAACACTATCATTTAGAAGAGTCAGGTCTGTGTCTATATCAGGGCTAACCACTATACCTCTCTCACCCCTCTTCACTGCTAAAGATCAATATAAAATTACCTGGAAATATTTTTATTTTGGGATTAATTGTACGAGCGCTGAATTGGGTCGTTGTACTTAGTTAGTGAAGTAGCGAAGAGGTATACTCATTCTGACATCATCTACACACAGCCTCAACACTTCTCGTACAAAAGGAACCTCCCCGAGTGTTCTCCTCGTCAGTCACTTAACCAGCACGAGGGATAAAAATTTATGCTAATGAAGAATGTTGTTCATGAAATCATTCTTTTTCTTCCTCAGTTTTTCAGGGAACTGTTTCATACTTCAGGATCGCCTTCTTCCCTCTTGTGTTAAAACCGACAAAAAATCACCTGAAGATTAGCTCTCCATTCCAGATTATTTCACCTGATGATTAAACACCTTGACGCTACCTGGGGAAGAATAGGTTAGGTTAAATTTGATTAAGATAAGGTTAAGGTGGTTAATCATGGTGATGCAAAGATGGGGTGGTGTCTAATTAGCCCTTAGCCTATTTCACCTGATGATTAAACACCTTGACGCTACCTGGGGAAGAATAGGTTAGGTTAAATTTGATTAAGATAAGGTTAAGGTGGTTAATCATGGTGATGCAAAGATGGGGTGGTGTCTAATTAGCCCTTAGCCTATTTTACCTGATGATTAAACACTAATGCTACCTAGGGGATTAGGTTAGCGTTAGGGCAATTGATATTAAGATAAAGTATTTGGAGTGTCTAATCTTTAGGTTATCCCACGGAATTCTTACTGATTTTGACGAATACAGACGCTTATGTTCTGAGGTAAGCATACTGGCGCACACACACACACACACACACACACACACACACACACACACACACACACACACACACACACACACACACACACACACACACATATATATAAAAAAATAGGACAGTTTGAGTTTCGGTATATAATTAAAAACGGAGAGTACAGTACATTACTATTAAACAAGATAGATAGATAGATAGATTGATAAGATTTGTTAAAAACCACATTGACTGTTTTCTGACTTTGAAGAATTTTAAGAGTGAATCAATATGGAAAATTTACACATCCTAAAACAGATGACGACTTGTATAGCGAATCCCAGCGAGGTGACCAACATGAAATTACGCTTCGGTTGAATTATATACGTAACCAACCTAACCTAACCTAAATTAACCATTCTTAGTATCTACCTAGCAGTCTTAGTATCTACATAGCAGTCTTAGTATCTACCTAGCAGTCTTAGTATCTACCTAGCAGTCTTAGTATCTACCTAGCAGTCTTAGTATCTACCAAATAGTCTTAGTATCTACCTAGCAGTCTTAGTATCTACCAAGAGTCTTAGTATCTACCTAGCAGTCTTAGTATCTACCAAGAGTCTTAGTATCTACCTAGCAGTCTTAGTATCTACCTAGCAGTCTTAGTATCTACCAAGTAGTCTTAGTATCTACCTAGCAGTCTTAGTATCTACCTAGCAGTCTTAGTATCTTCCTAGCAGTCTTAGTATCTTCCTAGCAGTCTTAGTATCTACCAAGAGTCTTAGTATCTACCTAGCAGTCTATCCTAGCAGTCTTAGTATCTACCTAGCAGTCTTAGTATCTACCTAGCAGTCTTAGTATCTACCTAGCAGTCTTAGTATCTACCTAGCAGTCTTAGTATCTTCCTAGCAGTCTTAGTAGCTACCTAGCAGTCTTAGTATCTTCCTAGCAGTCTTAGTATCTACCTAGCAGTGTTACTCTCCCTTGGTGAAGACGTGCGGTAGATGATGAAGAAAAACAATTATTTCCGGTTAAAATTTTAGATCTGTGACTTACTTCCAAGTTCGAAAATGTAAATTCTCCTTTCAAGAGATTAAATTAAACTTGATGCTGTTTTGGACACCTGTCTGAAATCTATACGAAAAAACGAAAAAAATGCTTCAATTACTAAGGGTAGTGATAGAATACTGACTGGTCTGGGTTTTTTTCGCCCGTCCTTCAAAGCGAAAACTTAAAAATGTCGCCAGTATTGTATAAAACTTTCGCATTGTCAAAGTCGAAAAGTGTAACTGGTCAATCTGTGCTTAATTGGCAATTAACGGGTAATTGATCGTCAGAAAGAGAAACGTGCAATGTCATTGTTTGGTGATAACAGCTGATAGATATTAAATTGTTTAGATTGGGACTGAATATAGATAGTCTAGTCGCCTTAACTACACCGTTTAGCGCCTGAGTCAACGATTTTAACCTAAAAAAGAAAAGGAAAAATTAAGTTTATCACAATTCTTATTCCATTCAGTGTCGGTGTAGTTGTCATTTTATATTTTACCTTTCAGTTCATTTACAAACAATTGAGCTGACCACAATGACGGCTGTCGACCATGGCCAGCCGTGTTTTCAAGCTGTCAGTACCAGCCCTCTCAGATTTTGCATCTTTCTGGGGACCACAGTTTTTAATTTCATTTATTTTAATTTACGTATCTTGGCCTTCCTACGACCAAACTAATTTACCAGTTAATATCTCTGGCGTCATCCTTATATCTCATAAATTTCCCCTAAATTACTCCAGTTGTTTTTCTGTAGCTAAATTTCATCATTCACTAGTCTAACCTCTTTGTGGTGTCTAGTGAAAGTGTCCACAGTTCTGATCCTTAAAATAGTATCGATTATTTGTAACATTTTAAGAGTATTTTTCTCAAACTATAATTATTTTTCTCCGTTAAATAGATCTCCGTGATTATTAAATAGTAATCTGGGCTAAACATACAGTGCAGGTATATTGGGCCCAAAACCTTTCCACTTAAGTTCTCTATTGCCTACTATAATTTATATTTTGAATCAAACTTAAATCTTGAAGAAAAAAAAAAATCTACCGATACCTCCTTGTTCATAGCGTTAACCCAGAGCTCACATTCTTGTTCATAATATTCTCTTGTTATGTGAGGAATGTGATGTGACTCGGGAGATGTTAAGTGAAACTGCATTTATTGACATATTTGTACGATATTGTCCAATGTACTGAAAACATGTTACTGATATAAGCGTTAGGTGTATATTTCCCTGGTTCTGGTTTGCAAAAAGTTGATTTGACGTTATTCATAAATGTTACCATATATTGACAGGATATACCATTAAGTTATACTTTTAGTACAAAAAAAATAAAAGCTGTCAGTTACCTTGTACGAAGCTTTCCAGTTTGCAGACGAGGGCGGGCAGGATGTAGTGTGGATGAGACAGGTTCCTCACTATATGCACCCACATACACACCAGCGTCACCAGCAGGTCGGCCACGGCCAGGTTCACCAGGTATTGATTGGTGGAGGTGCGCATGTGGGCGTTGTAGTAGACCACCACGATCACCAGCAGGTTGCCCGCCAGTGACACCAAGAACACCATTATGTACGCCACTATCTGTACATACCGGAAACCATTCATCGATTAGTAAACATCATAGATCCAGTCCTCAGTCATCTTTAACGGGAAGGTTATTTATTATTTACTCTTTACAACTAGTTTTTATGCCATTGTATAATAATTCTATAGTTAAAAGTTTTGTGTTAACTGACAATCAAAATTACTAAGAATATTGTCGTTAATAACATTATCATTTAGTACCGGTATATTACACACACACACACAAACTACTATTACTACTACTACTTTGCTGTTTCTCGGAATCGAGTATGACGATCATCTAGCTACGATACAATGATATGAGTTATTAAGGATGTCACCTTCGTTGGTGAGCTCTCTGGTGAATCGAGAGGCCGATACGGGATCGACAAGGCCGTCCACAGATGTGCACGTGTGGAGGGCTACATCTAGTGCGGGAGGGGCGGCGGCATCGTCTTTCTGGCGCTGGCGCTTATCTGCCTTGGTATGCAGTCGGGCTAACTCGAAAATATTGACACCTTCTCGTGTGGTGCTCCTCCAAGCGTTACGGTTTGGGGTAATCGTCTCCCAGGTGAGGGGGGTCGATTTGACATTTTTTCAGGTTTGTCTTAAGACTATCCTTATACCTTTTCAGTTACCCGCCAGCGTTCCATTTACCATTTGTTAGGTGACTGTAAAGTAGCTGCTTTGGCAGTCTACTCTCGTCCATGCGGGTAACACGGCCAGGCCAACGTAGTTGTTCATTTATAATGGTAGCCTCAATGCCCCTACAGTTGGTGTCAGCAAGAATACTGGCATTTGTTCTCTTGTCTTCCCAGCGACTTCGGAGGATGGAACGTAGACTACAGTACGTTGGTGAAAGTTTTCAAGTGCCTTGATGTGCCTCCTGTATGTGACCCATGTCACATGGATACACGTGCAACTTTGTAGAAAATTTCAGCTCCATACAGCTGAAGACACGGTTACGGAGTCTACCAAAGGCTTGAGATGCGCATCTGATCCGATGTTGAATCTCTTCATCGATGTCTGTGGTGGTGGACAGGTGGGAGCCGAGATACTGGAAGTGGGTAACATTAGAGAGTGTAGTACCATTAAGTTGGATGGGTGGTGGAGGTGTGTCTGAACCAGGGGCAGGCTGAAAGATAATCTGAATCTTACGTGCATTCACCTCAGGGCCGAAGTGTGCATACGCATCTGCGTTGGGGTTCAGGATCTCCTGTAGGTCGCGTTCAGTGTGAGAGACGAGTGTGATGTCGTCTGCAGTACTGAAGTTCAGTGATAGAAGCCGCCGACACCTTTGTTCCTGACTGGAGTCTTAGCATGTTGAAAAGTCTCTTCATCCGGTACTGGATGTACACTCACACGATGGGGGTGAGAACGTGTTAAAATGCCACTGCAGCAGCTTGGGGTCAAGCTTTTGACCTCTCCCTACCTCCCACCACTCCCTGGATGCTTCCCTGTAAATGCTTCGCCTTGCACATGATGCAAGGGGGGGGGGGGTGCCTAATAAGCTAGCCCTCTTGTGGGCAAATCTGAAAAATCTGAAACCCTTAGAAGTGTGCGACTTGACAACTGCCAGCGCACAAGGTGGGCCGTGATTGGCTGTACCGCTGGCGAGGCGCGGCAGGCTGACTGGGTGAGGGTGGCGGTGCTTAGGTCATATACTTTTGATCATTTGCGTCCATCCCGCTCACCCATCAAGCACACTATTTAACAGCCTCATTTATTTTGACAAACGTGGCATTTATTTCAAATACATTATTCTATTTTCTGTTGATTTTACGGTACAAACAAACATTGAGCTGAAGTTTTGGAATGAGCAGGTCTGGCAAATAGCAAGACAACAAGTTTTAACAAGAAAGACTTTAATAAGTTTGTTGTCGTAAAAACGGGACCAGACGATACTGCCTTTTGTAGTTTGTTAGGGAGTTTAGTGTAGTGATCCAATTAGGCAGCTGTGTCCCTGGTGCTTGATTTGAGTATGATAGAACAGCATCTTTATAAAACGAGTATGTAAACACCGGTAATTTTCCTGTAACCTTTGTGTTGTTTACGAAATAGAAGAGGCATGAGTGAATCTCTCTCGCCCTTGGTTGTCGTGACCACTGTAAAAGTTATACATACAGGTATTGGGTAATATTTGTCACCGCTCGAAGGTTGTCATAACGTGTGATGAGAATGTTGAGAGAGAATGGGAGAGAAAAACCATTAATATGTCACATAAATTCGGATTAGATATTGATAAATGAAAGCAAACTAAACTACAAGGTTATTCATTATATAGCCGGGAAATAGAACTTTACACTGTCTTGATTCACGTTTTAAAGTAAGACATTTTCACTACTTAACATTTAATTCAATAATTCCTTTCCATGTGTGAATACTGTGTAGTGTGACGGTATTTTCGTCAGTCATTACACTTCATAAACTTAACAGCGAGATCAGAGGGTATATAGGAGAGTGTTCCGTCAGGTGATTGTCGCCGGAGCACCTCACCTCCAGACTCCACAAGAGCTCCATCATCCTGCCACTATTGTATCCTCAAGCGCACAAGAATGGTAGCATAAAGGCGCCTTTCACTTCTCAGATGACGTCCGTTTATGCGTTCACTAGCATGTCCAAAATTTACTGTCCCGCGCCATGATAAAAATCTTAACGTCCATTATTCTCTTTTAAAGGCGGAATTCCATTAAGCAATTTTCATGGTGCCATCACGTGAAGGTAAAAAATGATTTGTTCTTTATTAACTCTCTCGAATATCTTTGTTGTCTGCTCTATAACTACGACGTTCAGATTAGGGTGACACTTCCATGCCAAGGTTTCTGCAGCCAGGTGAACGAACAGACACGGGTCATGGGGAACATTACCTTAATAATGATCTAATTAATGACACTCGTTTGATGGTGAATATCCTCATCAAGTATTGGGAAGACTTGGGTAACTTTCATATATTGATCCTCACTAACATATGATGGTTAAAGAGCCCCCCTCCCCCCAGAACCTGATATTAACCCAGAGAGTGAGTCCCAGTGAGCACCAGAGATAAGCTAATAGAACACCAGTCACCACCGTATGACCCTTACTGTACATTACATAATCAGTAAGTACCTCCTTCCACACACCTGAAGCTACACTGTGGTAATATGGTGCCCTCTCCACCACCTTACACACACACACACACACTGATATTAAAGACAAGAATGTGAACATGAAGCTCAAACATTGTAGAGTAGAATGTGAATATGGGAGGCGAGGATAATTACATACAGGTAGTGTGGGCGGCAGTATGCTAGAGATGGAAATGAATATATCAAGCCTGTGGAAATATGTGCTGGTGATATAGGATTTTAATATGTTAAGAGATATGGGGAGAGTATGTACTGGTGATGCGAGATATGTTGTACTGGTGATGGGAGACACTGTACTGGTATTGTACTGGTGGCAAGACATATTGGTTACCTGATATTATTCGCATATTTTGTGTATTTTCTTCCAAGGAGTGAGGAACATTGTCATCAAGTTATGTGGAAGTTTCGCTATGTTATTATCATGCAACAATAAATCTTTAAGGTGCACACTTACAAACCGGCAAGGAGAATCGAGATGCGCTTAAAAGCCTCGAATGCTGACAGAAGGCGATAATTTAACACTCTTATGAACAGAGAGAGAGTCAACAAACACTGGGAAGGTTGTCGAGAAATGGTTACCAAACAAAGATTCGAGGGTTTTAGTGTTAGACATATATATTATGGATGGTGAATCAACTTTTAGGCACCACAAATTATTTCACTTATAGATTAAACAGCCCAACCCAACCTAACCTAACCCTAACCAGTAAGTTTTTGTCCCGGCCTCGGCAGCTAAAACTACTGAACTACCTCTGGCTTGATTTTCTTCATTACCACGAAAACAAGAAAATAAACCTCAGTATTTTTTTTTCCGTCCTAATGTCTTCACAGGTTTCGTTCATTCATCACAAAGACAATATATAATTAATCCTCCCCCTAGATATATATTTTTTCATTAATATTTCAATCAAGTTTTATGTATTACGCCCTCTGGTGAAGCTCCATGAGTCACAGTGACGGACTCCAGAATTCAATCCAGGGAAAAAAAAAATGAAACGGCCACTTCCCACCCACGAGAGATTTTGCATTTAATAATTGATATAAAGAATTTCCTTCTATTTCATTGTTTTCACGCAAGAGTAGTAAGAATTATTTACCATATTCTTATAACTAGTGCAGATTATTTAAGAATATTGTATTTGTTAACTTGAAATTAATTAGATATATTTATGCTGCAGTGCTAAGAATTAATATTCATACTTATATTTTAACCTTCACATTATATGAGCTATGTGTTAACTATTTCACTTGACAATTTAAAGCACAGATAGTTAGATAGATAGATAACTAGATAGATAGATAGATAGATAGATAGATAACTAGATAGATAGATAGATAGATAGATAGATAGATAGATAACTAGATAGATAGATAGATAGATAGATAGATAGATAGATAGATAGCGTATATATGCAAATGAGTACAAACAGCAATAACACAATCAGTTATATCATGGGATCATAATAGTTAAACATAACAAAAAAACAAACCAAATTTTAACACAATAATCATCCTAAGATAATAAACGACCAGAGAAAAATAACTGTTCGTTTGAATGTGATCAATACTATACAAGACTCAATGCTGCTTAAAGAAGAGGTTAGGTTAGGTTAGGTTAGGTTTGGTTAGGTTAGGTTAGGTTAGGTTAGGTTAGGTTAGGTTAGGTTAGGTTAGGTTAGGTTAGAAAGGTTAGGTTAGGTTAGGTTAGGTTAGGTTAGGTTAGGTTAGGTTAGGTTAGGTTAGGTTAGGTTAGGTTAGGTTAGGTTAGGTTTGGTTTGGTTTGGTTTGGTTTGGTTTGGCACCTGCACAGTGTCATGATCCAGGCATCTTAAGAAAATTAAAACTTTAAACAATTCTCTGTTCTTTAACGTTAATAAATCACTAACTATACCAGAGTCAACTTGTGTAAAATCCCCTTCTCTACATGAGCGGCTCCAGATGTGACCCGGGTGTCTAATTAAATCTTTTTTCTTGGCCTCACCATTGTACGTGTCAACATGTAAAATCTCCTTAATATGAAAGTCCATTCCCTGTTTCTATTTATGGCTTTAAAAGTTTACAGCTGCATTGTGTTGTGTCGGTGTAGGCTAGGTAAATAATCCCGACATTGTGGAGCTTAGCTAAACATGGGTGTGTTGTCAAATAATTTTAACGAACACAGGTGATGCAACACAACGCTACACAAGTCATGGAAACTATACCCCACTTACATCGAGGCAACAGCTGCTGGGGCAATTCCTTTTATCGCCTAAAGAGTGTGGAAAAATAACTAGTCTTCTTGGTGTCGATCTCATTCGTGCAATACCGCTTGCTATTGGTGCTTGCGAAACAGAGTTCAGTGTGATTAATAGGAGGATAAAATGAGCTTTGCCAGGTAGTATACAAAGGAAACCAGTTACTTTTATTTATATACCACTTCATTAGTTAGGCTGTGAAACACTTTACATAGCAGCTGTATCCCAGTGAAGTAGCAACCTCCTCCCTCCCCGCCCACCCTCGCCCTCTATGGTAACACGCTAATTGCAAACATATCTCAACCCATTACTTACCACATCCCAAACACATCATTTATCACATCCCTACCATAGTATTTATTTCCCACATTCCTAACTTATTATTTCTAAATTTACTGAGTAGGACAGAACTCATCTATACATTCTTATGTATGTCTGCTTATGGTAATGTACATGGTGTGTACGTGTGTACCATATTGGCATAACACACGTGACCCGAGGCAGTTAGTACCATGGTATACCTAAGCACTTCACCATTCACAAATGTTCCCCGTCAAGAGCTTGGGTCATGTACGCTGAAAGTTAGAAAGAGAATTGTTGGCTTAATCTGAGTGGTGAATCCATGCTATTTGCTCTCCCAATATCCGGGGTAAACCACATCTTTATTCCAGTGGGTTATCGGAGAGATTTTATTAAGAGAGACGTATTTTAATAAGCCTTTTATTATTCTTGAAGTAACATAAGAATTAATTCGTATTTTTTTTCTCTGGGTAAAAGATATAGTAAGAAAGTTTATTGCTAGTAGAAGGATTTAAAGGGATATGACACAGCCTAGTAGTGAGGATGTGTCACTAATAAACAAGATGACAGATGACAAATTATGGAAAGTTAAATAAGTCACAGTAAGAGGCTGGGATTTTTTTTTTATGTTTTATTTAATTTTTTTTGGTGAAAGTAATGTAGATGCGTGTGTTTGAAGCTCCTGTTATCCTAGACGTGGTCACAGGAGCAGCACAAGTGGGATGGTTCGCTGTTTTGACATCCTGTATACAGCTCTTACGATATCATTTACAAAACAAACTATCCTCAGTACTCTCTCTCTCTCTCTCTCTCTCTCTCTCTCTCTCTCTCTCTCTCTCTCTCTCTCCTAGTCTAATATTTACCTCCATCTTACATATCTTTGCCAACGTTTGTAATTCTTTTCGTTCTCAATAATCTCTTGAAAACAGTTTGAAATGATTATTATCGAATACAAATATGGTCACAACCCCTACCTACCTACCCACCCACCTACCTTCTTCACCTCTGCACACACATATATTGACTTGTTGCTCTGGACACAATTACAGCACCTTGACTTCTCGGCGTGAAAGGTAAAAATTCCACCACTCAGACACGTCCTCCAGTTTACACAACCATATTTCTAGATTTTCTTCGCCTTACAGTATATATGTCATCTGTTCCATCATATTCTCTAATTTATCAAATGTTTACGTCGTTTATCATGTGACGTTCCCATAGGATGAACGTGAGCTAGCTATTTAAACGTTACATCAGAGAACAGAGAGGAAGGAAGACCTGTAGATGTTAGTTGAAAGTACATTGACGTTTGAGGAGGTTAACAAGTCGAGCCGAAAGGTGATCTTGCTCAGGTGATGACGCTCTTATTTTTAATGCATAAAATTTTCAGTAGGTTGTATAATGTTGTGTGAGGTTAGGTTAGGTGAGGTTAGTTTAGGTGAGGTTAGGTTAGGTTAGGTGAGGTTAGGTTAGGTTAGGTTAGGTTAGGTTAGGTTAGGTTAGGTTAAGTGAGGTTGAATTTAGTGTTACGTCAGTGTGAGAGACAATGCCCCACAATAAATGTCTCGAGAAAGTTAAGGTAATTGGCTCCCGGGTTGGAGAACTGTAGCTATGAAGACTGTATGAGAAAGATGATGATTACCAACTTCTTCAACTTATATGCTGCTTCACTAGGTGGTTGATCATATGGGCCCAACTTCTAATGGGAACCAACCTAATTCAATCTATCTGTTGGGACTGAAGACGAATAACAATGGGTTTCAGTCCTAATGTAGTCAAATCGTTAAGGGTTCCAGTCTTATAGGTTAGGTTAGGTTAGCTATGACTGAGGCTTATTAAATGCTTGTTTGTCTCACCTACGAGCACTTTGTCCTCTCCATGTAAAGCTCGAATGAAGAAAAGTGACAGCTTGATAACTTTGGACCTAAACCCAGTGGTAATGTTTGAGGGAGCCTTCCAATTAGTAGGCTCATATTTTCGGATCGGTGGTAATGTCAGTTCCCAAATGGGTGAAGTTTTCTTACCAGTGACGTGATGAGGTTGTGGTCTAGACTACACCTCCAACCTCCAGACGCTAAACTCTTAAGTAGTTTCATTCTGGACATTCTCGACAATATTGTGATTGTTATTTTTTTGTTGGGCGTGTTAATAGTTATAATTTTTTCCAATAGTTATAATTTTTTCCATCGACTTAAAGTTCATGTTCTATTGTCTATTTAATAGTTAATAAATAGCAACTTAAGGGATATTGTTCATCAGTGTGTTGTCGCTTCTCACGTACAGATTTTCTCCTTGACAGTGACACACACAAGTTGTTTGGTGCGTCACGTCTGTTTCGTCCACCTAGCACGTTCCTCGTGTTCTCTGAGTTTCCTTGGTTTAATCTCTTTATATCTGTCTCGTGTGGCTTTCCCAACACCGACTTACATATCCTGGTGAATACTTGGCGAAATCTTGTGTTATTTTATCTTAGAAACTTCACCACGTCAAACCTGCCAAAGGTGTGAATGTAATAAATCACCTGATGAGCCACACTGTATCATGTTAATATGGCAGTTTAATAAGAGGTGTTGGGGGAGGTGTTGGGTGTTGGGGGAGGTGTTGGGTGTTGGGGAGGTGTTGGGTGTTGTGTTGATGTTGGGAGAGTGTTGGGTGTTGCAGGAGGTGTTGGGTGTTGGGAGGTGTTGGGTGTTGGGGAGGTGTTGGGTGTTAGAGGTGTTGGGTGTTGAGTGTTGGGTGTTGCTGGAGGTGTTGGGTATTGGGGGAGGTGTTGGGTGAGGTTGTTAACTTAGAACTGTTATTGTTCACCCCTTGTTAACCTTGAACTGTTCTCTCCCTGGTGTTCATATGTAACCCAGAACTGACCATGATGACCTGTATAACACACACATGACCCAGAACTGACCTTGGTGACCTGTATAACACACACATGACCCAGAACTGACCTTGATGACCTCTTTGCAGGTGATAGGAATCCAGGTCTCCTTCCGGTAACCGTATTCGAAATCAGTTAAGTCCATCAGACGGTGATCATTCTGGCAGGATTTGTTGAGATCAAATGTCATAGTCACATTATCTGTAAGAGAGAGAGAGAGTGAGAGAGAGAGAGAGAGTGAGAGAGAGAGAGTCCAATGCGGTCACAAACACTGGAGTCGATCTGCCAGTTAAGAGGGATAGATAATTGCTTTTGTTTTTAAGTTTTTCAGATGACTTAACTATTTTATGGTCATTAAGTTAAGTGTGGGATGATTAGGTTAGGTTAGGGTTTGGTTAGGTTAGGTTAGGTTAGGTTAGGTATGAGTTGGTATGGTTAGGTTAGTTTAGGTTAGGATCTTGAAGGTGAGGGAGTGGTGACAGGTGTTGATGGTGTACCTGTAGTGTGAGGAATGGTGTGAATTAGTGAGGTAGGTGAGGGCGGGTGAGGGCGGGTGAGTGAGGGAGGGGTGAATGAGGGAGGTGAGGGAGGGCTGAGTAGTTAGTGAGGGAGATGAGTGAGTTAGGTTAAAGTTAGGTTAGGTTAAGTTAGGTTAGGTTAGGTTAGGTTAGGTGAGGTTAAGTTAAGTTAGGTTAGGTTAGGTAACGTTGGGTTTAATTAGGTCTAGTTGAATTAAGTTAGTTTAGTCTATTAGTAAATGAGATATAATAATTTATTTTTTAGTCTTTACTTACATTATTTCTCCCAATTATCTTTTATTTTACATTTTTTCTCTACATTGTGATCATGAAAATTACAATTACCCCAAAATATGTTTCGTATGTCGCACCTGTGTATAAAACTACTCGTGTACGACTCAAGTTATCTACTAAACGACCAGTGAACGTTAATGAGTGACGCATTATGAGTCGGTGAGTGCATGAGGGTGAGTCAATGAAGGCTATGGGTGAATAAAAGTTAATAAAGAAGTTGGGGAAAAGAATGTTATTGTTTTCTGTGGATTAATAAGTAAGGTATATGGTAGACTGAACCATAACTTTACACTTCTGAACACGTCTTGCCTTACCAAACATGACGACGTATTGAAGTGATTCTTTGCCTGGATGTCATTTTCTAAAAGCTAATCCACAAGATTCTCATTTTCTTCTCGATTGGGTATAAGAGCTACTAAGTCTTCCTCTTCCTGTCAAGTCAGTTATTATGGTAAGCCCTGGGGATCAGTCTTCATGTCATTACCTAACCTAACCTAACCTAACCTAACCTAACCATTTTGTGATAGGTTATAAATCACTTAAGGAACTAAAAGAAAGAAAATAAAGAGTATAAAATTGTGTGGAACTGTCATCGTGTAGGTGAGGAACCCCTTCGTCAGTAGCACTAACCCTGTAATGCCACCGAGACTTGATGACTTGGCGCAGGGTGGCCCATTGTGTAACTCCTCTCCTTCCCCCCCTTCCCTCCCCCTCGCCTCCTTTCCCCCCCCCCTTCTCTCCTCTTCCACCCTTCCTTCCCTCCTCTTCCACTCCTTCTTCCCCCCTCCTCCTCCCCTGCTTCCCCTCCCTCCTTCACCCCACGGGCGTCTTGCTGACTGGTGACGCCATCTCCCGCCTCCTCGTCCTTCGTCTCGCCTTATCTTTTTACCTTTCTCTCTTTCATAACCCCTCCCCCCCCCTCCAGATAATATATTTCAATACTCACTAGGGAAGAGAGACTCAGCACACACATTGTCTGAGCGAGTCCTGAACATCGTTAATTTAAAGATTTTTCTGATGAAGGTTATTTTTATGGGCGCTTCTTCACATCTTCCGCCCATCCCACAGACAACAACAAAAAAGAGGAAAATGAACGGAAAATTTACTGGATTGTACTTATTTGTTCGTTCAATCATCACTCATTTGAATCATTTGTGTCTGGTGTTGAAGATGAGTCGATAAACTTTATGAAATAATTTACATAAATATTCAACCTCACCGTATTGTTTTATCCATGAATTGTGAAACTCCTTGACAATCTATCGTGTGTGTTAAGTACTGTATGTTAGTCTATGAAAAAAAAAGGAATAACACTAGTCAGGTATAGAGCTTCAGGTCAATCACACGCAGTTTTTAGATAGGTCGGTCCTAATGCTTATATACAGTACCTTCACATATACGACACACGAATATAATAACACCGTGTCAAATTTGGGTGTTAGTAAATAGATTAAAGACGCGAAGGTTCAGGAGAGACTATTGGAAATGTTCACTGACCCCGTAGCAACTCGATACCATTAGCTAATAACCTGATACATAAAGATTCTTCCCTCACTAATACATGTCAACAATAGATCCGTCCAGTGAGTCAAACAGACAGTACATTTCATCTACTTCTCTTCCTCCTTCTTTTATCAGTTATTGTCATCTCTCCTATATCTGCTGACTAACAGAATTCACGAATATTATTTTGGAATATTGGAATTTTTTTTATTTATTTTTTGCTTCCCCCCGCTGTTAGTTAAAGTCACTACAGCTAACTAGATTTAGTACCCCGCTAGGTCACGTCTCATATACACAGTCTTCGTGATGACAAAAAATAAGAAATTGACTTTGATCTTTATTAGAACTTTCGCTGTACGTTACATGGGTCGATCGATGTAGAGTTTGGTATCTAGTCTTCTTGTACACTATCCGAGTTTATTTCCACTCTTATGTTAGGTTACGTTACGTTACTTTTGGTTAGGTTAGGTTTGGTTAGTGTCAGGATGGTTATTCTTATGGTGAAATTGACTAGGGGCTAATCTTCGGGTGATCCAAAAAGGTAGCCTTCTTCACGTTTCATCTCGTTCTTGTAGGATGGTTGGGTAGGTGTCAGTGTTTTCATTTCATCTTCGCCTCAGAGTTCCATCGTACGTTCATTCCTGCCACGTTCCCTTCTCTTCCTCCCCCGAGCAAAAGTGGTTTTCTTTGTATATCTCCCGAACTACTGCCTCTCTTGATACACGAAATATCTATCCATCTTCGGTAGAATGTATACTGTACGTTCGATGCATCAAAATATCACCAAATATCTTCCTCAACTACCGTGTGACATGAATATCCTCTCTCTCTCCTCGTCTTTTGTTTCTCCTGCAAAACAAAAATTCTCTTCTATTTTGTGTATTTTATTTTTGTTTCTCTCTCAGTTTTTACTCGCTCACTCTTACTTATTTTTTTTTTTTTTTACCCAAGTTCGGTTGATTCTTTCAGTACATGATGTGTGTTTGGTTGACTGTTCTTTACTTCCTATCGATATGTGCCACACCATCACTACTCGCGTCTGACTCTCTCTCTCTCTCTCTCTCTCTCTCTACTGATTCTTATTTTGTTTTTGCTTATATTCACGCAAAAGAATATTTCCTTGTTCATCTTGTTGTTGTTGTCGCAGAACGAAACTGTATTCCTCATTTAAATTATCTCCCTACAGACGAGAAGTACTCTTAATGTCTTCTTCTCACTTGACAGTATCACACGGTAAAGGCTGTGACCTTTTGTGACCTTTGGATTGTTACTAACGCTTTATTAACTGCCTTTGTGATTATTATTTGTTGTTTGTCGCCAACTGGACATTAAAAAAGATCTCACCGGCGAGAGGTTCAATGTAAATATCTCCTTTATGTTATTAATTTATGAATATTGTTCCTAAATCTTACCAGAAATTAGATTATCGTTGAAAATTTGGGTATGTAAGTAGGTCCTTAAAGAATATTGCGTCAAATGGTCGCTGGCCCCTAGAAAACTCCCAGTCTCGAGCCCTGTTGTTGACTACTTTGAACTGAGTCCTTTTTATACCTCTTCTACTTACTTGGGGAACCTATTTCTAGTTTGGTCATCTTCACCTGACTCACCTGAGGGAGTCACACACAGACACCAAATTTGTATCACAATGTTTAGGGTTACCTGTGTTGACTGACTGACTGATTCACGTAACTTTTAGGCTAGCCCGTGCTCTTCTTTAGAGATCCTGTCGTGCTTCGGCGAAACACACACACACACACACACACACACACACACACACACACACACAGGAGCTTTTGCTACGATTGAGAAGTTCCTCACTCTCAGGTCACTGAGAGACATGTGGTGACCTTGACCTGGGTGTGACAACCAACCTGGCGATATACTCGCCAATATCCTGTCTTTGACCTCAGACGACTTGTCTCACCACAAAAGAGAATGTCAACATCAACATCACTGCATTTTAGTGTGACCTCACTTGACCTTCCTTATCCTGTGACCAAAAGTGTCAAATTTGACTTTACATCATATTTCTCATTCCATGACCCAGCAAGGGGCGGCGACCGCTCCTTTGATGTCAAGAGTAAGTTTGTCGTCTGTGAGTTAATATGACGTTAATCAGGTGCCGTGGCAAGTTGACATTCTTGGTTGTGTTTACTCGACGCCCTGACTCTTAACTTCATCGTGTTCCTCAATATTGTGTCTCGCTGTACACGCAGGGTATACGCCTGTCCTGTCCTGCCCTCTGTCTCTTCCCTCACCCTGTCTCTTCCCTCACCCTGTCTCTTACCTCACTCTGTCTCTTCCCTCACTTTGTCTCTCCCATTACTCTCTCTCTCTCTCTCTCTCTCATCTCACTCTCTCTCTCCCATCACTTTATATCTCTCTCTCTCTCTCTCTCATCTCACTCTCTCTCTCTCTCTCTGTCTGTCTGTCTGTCTGTCTGTCTGTCTGTCTCTTCTCCTATCACTCTCTCTCTCTCTCTCTCCTCTTATTATTCACTTTTACCTCCTGAGCCCTGCCATAACCTTAAGCAACCTTTAATTCTTAATCTTGTTTCACTCTTCCACCTCGTTATCTCCCCACACCTCGTTATTTCCCACACCCTCGTTATTTTTCCCTCGTTATTTCACCCTCTCGTTATTTCCCCATCCCCGGTTATTTCCCCTCGTTACTTTTCCCCACCCCTTCGTTATTTCCCAACACAGTAACTTGAACACAACAGCTTCACCAACAAAAACATTACCGACATGCACACCACCACCACACCACCACCAACCACCACCACCACCATCACCACCAAGACCACCACCACCACCACCACCACCACCCACCACCACCACCACCACCACACCAACACCACCACCCACCACCAACACACCACCACCA